CTAGTAACTTTCTCCGAAGTCCTGCGTAACAAGTTACTTTCAAGGTAGGGTAACTTGGCTCCATAACAGGGTAGCCCATAGCCTAAGACATGGTAACTTTAGTCTAAAGGTAGGGTAACAGCAAGCTGAGTTATCCTACAGAGTAGGGTAACTCTACCCAGACTTACTGTTGAGTAATTCAGCGTTACTCCCAAATTGACTACTTAGGTTACCCTACTGAGTAGGGTAACTACCACTCCTTACTAGTACCCATATACTTCTTAGTATGGTATAGTATGCCCAACCGAGGTACCTAACCAACAGTACCTCTAGCCAGTAGACTCTAGTCTACAACCATTCCTACCACAGTAGTCTCTTGATACCGGTATGGGTATAGGTTTGGTTAACTGTAATAGTACTCTGTGGAGTCTCGTTACAAGGAGGAATTGACTGTAATTACGTACTACAAATCTTATTCCCTGCTGTCTGTTGAATGGAGAAAGTGAAAACACGAGCATGCTTATGCTAAGTAAGGCTAAAGCAAAAGTGAAGTAGAAATAAAAACCAACATTCAAATGACTGTCATGGATGTGATAGGATTTTGGACATGACTCGATTATGAGTGATAGGTCTTACGCATATGACTCACTTGAGTCATATAATTTGTTTATGTTATAATTTGTTATATAATAATTTGTTATATTTGGCACATGACTCACTCTAGTCATATTACTTGATTATGTTATGATTTGCCATATTTCACATATAACTCAATTATGAGTCATGGGTTTTGTGCTTATGACTAACTCCCTCATATGAATTGTTTATAAGAATTGAACATGACTCATAATTATGAGTCATCTGGGTTAGAGTTGGTGAGAAGAGCATTATATAAGGAGGCTGATATAGCTCAGGAGAATAGGCTCTTTGTAATTTGTTCTAAGTAATTTCCTTACTTATTACTTCATAGGAATAAAATATTTTTACACTCTGTATCCTTTACATTTCTCATGAGCCTGAGGGCAATATCCCTATACAAGACAATAATTGGCATTACCTAAGCAAGTATTGGTAACATGGGCCAAAGGGTGCAAGAACTATGGAAGGAAGGAGATGTATATATATATATTTATATATTAAGAAAAGGTATTGTTGTCCGTCACGATTTGTTAACAGGGACTTAAGGATGTTACAGTAACCGAGAGATGAAAAGTAATGGCCTAGTTGCCCCCCATAGGGGGATGACCAGACCCAAAAAGTAGTGAGAAGTTTTGTGGTGTTGAGGTTTTCCCAAATAAGAAATAAATTGCCATCACCCGAGGTGTAGTGGAGATGGTCGATAGCAGTAATGAAAAGTAACTGGCAGTATATGAAGTCTACTTACATATATGTAAGTTCTTCTCTACTCTAGCAATTAACTACCTTTTCAGATCAAAACCTAATTGAGTAAAAGTGTCACCTAACAATATTAACTTTTAATACTTTGTTTTTTTCCTTTCAACTTTGCTATTGATATATCTTTATCTCTATTTCAGAAAGAACACTTCAGTGTAGTCACAACCTTGAGATCTATCTTCCCCATGGGAGCCCCGTTACAGAGCTGGAGATGTGTTAGATAACTAATAATTATTAAATTTTATAGCGATATGATCTTAATAACTCTGTACTAGAATAGCGCACAGTATGAAGTTTATACTATTGGCATACTAACCGAGGAGGAGGTAAATGTGTGAGGGTAGATTGGTAGGTGTTCTTATCCTTATTTCTCATAAGCAAGGTGGGTGGTGACCCGCTATATATACAGGTGCACATAACCCCACGTAACTAAGAGAAAAATAGGGAAAACATAGGAAGAACATAAGTACAACTGTGTTTGACCCTGAGAAATCTAAATAAACATATGTAGATGCACAGCAGTGTGAAAGGTATGAGGAAACATTATGAATCTGATTACCAAGAAGATTGCATAAAATATTCATAAGTAACCAAAACATTCTGAACACCAAGAAGAAAACATATATGTAATCCCTTATTGCTATCAGGAAATATTAATAAAATATACACGATAAATATCCTAGCTGTAGTAATGTCCACAGTGTATAGGTTTAACCGGAACATAAACCAAGTATGAAAATACATGTTATTGTCAATTAAAATATACATATGAAATGAATCAAAAATTTCAACAATAATAACTAAACCTTATTTATTTTTAATTATTTTTCTACTAATCTCTCTCATATCTGTAATGATATTCCTCTCCTTTCTTTCCCACTATACTGCTGTCATATCGACAAACCATAATCAATTACAGTATTATCATGGAATGTCTAAATGTTAGAAATGGTGTTGCTGCTATCAGAGGTAACAAGAGAGAAGATTGAACGTGTATTAAAATTGTTCAGAATAAGAATTGAGAGGAGAAACGATTATAGAGAAAAGAAAGTAAAGTGGTCCAGAAACAAGGGAAAGAAGGCAATCAGCCTTTCATCTTCGCATCTATGCTAGTCGGGTGTTTTTGGGGTGTACATAATCTGCCATTTAGATACATCATTCCTGTTTATGACTAGCGCCGCCTAGTCTAAACCCCCCATATGTGTAGTAGACCTCCAGTCCCAGGTCCACACTTTTCTTATCCTTGTTCCGTATTTTATCAAGCACTTTTCTAATACTAAAGGACTCCCCTCCTCTGCCAGTGATACGGCTACAATGCTTAAGTCTCAAATTCCTGCATGTTTTTACATCTTGGAATTGAAACAGCAGTTTATTGAAAGGAGAAAAATAGTTAGAAGAGATATTTCAGAACCATACCTTCAAGAATAATTTATTTTCAACCACAAAGTACAATAAAGACATGAGATTATCCTCGCCTCCCGGCCCAATTCAATATCCTCCTTCTTAATGTCACGGAGTTGCCATGTTCGTAGCGATGCTGTCCGCCCATCCACTCAGAGGACTGACTCCCACTCGCAGTCCGTCCGGTCCTGTTGAGAATTTTGCCTATGGCGTTAACAAGAAGGGGGGACGACGGGCACTACTCTGGTTTCATTTAATGCGTCAGAATGTGGAAACAGGAGAAGCCCTACCGGGGGTGTGCTTAACAAATGTGTTCTGCGACCCCTGTCTGTCGCTATTATTGGGGGTTGAAATTTATAAGGAATGTTCGGCGGGTGGTTTCTCATGACATGGACCTCCGAGAAGAAATGCCTGCGCAGATCTGTTCATGTTGAAAGGCACACAACACGGTTCCTATTTCAACATAAACATGCACTTTGTAGCATTGCCACACTAAGAAAGTGGCAATGCAAAAGGGGTTTGAAAAGAAAAAGTAGAAAATTCCGAGCGCTGGAGACTTTTTCTGCACACTGGTGACCGGCCGCTGGTTCATGTACACCAGCTATCTGGACGGCAAAAGCCATGCCTAGCCTTGCTAGACTGTCGTCATTGACAAAGATCTGCGATCCTCGGAACTCGCTGAACCTGACGGATTGTAGGCCGTGGTCCCGCCCGACCCTAGATCCCCCGAGGTCTCCCCACGGCCACGCGGGGAGGACTCGGAACCGCTGTAGGCAATGAGACGTTGTGGGGGAACGAGCCCGGCTTGAACGATCCTGTGATAATACTCCCCCCAAACCCCAGAACCTCCTTCTGAGAGTCTGTCACCAGTTCCAAAATGGCAAATGGAGAGGTTCCACACCTTCCTTTATGGCTCCCGGCGCCATCTTCCTGGCAAACCCTCCCCTCCGCCTGAGGAGCAACAATGGCCTACTGCAGTGTACTATTTAGTAGCAGCCACAATTAACTAAACTCTTTAGCGCCACCTCACAGGCCTTCCCTCCTCAGTGAACATATAGCCACTCCTATAAGTATAGAACTCATCTGGGCGATGACCTACGATACCCTACAAGATAAATTAACTTCATATCCAAATTTAGAACTTGGAATTGCATCAGCTTTTGAACCAGAGCCACTGGATGTACACGGTCGCTAGTTATTTATTTTTGAATGAATCATTAAGTGTGTAAAAGCTGCCCCGGTTTCAATGAGTCAGTATATCTCCGAACACCTCCCTCAATCTTGTTGCAGCGCAGAGAGCATGTGAGCCATTGACTATCATACTAAATTTATGTTGGCCATTCCTTTGTAAATAGATCTCTACCCTATCCCATGCTGCACCTTTTCAGAACTACTCTATAAGTTAGCCACGATCCTACCCTTCAGCGCCCGGACAAGACCAAATCCAAAACATTAGCATCGATATTATCCACGCAAAAGACGATACGGCCTTGCTCCCCACGGCTCTGCTCAAGATAGCGAGGGCGTATCAGGATTGAGGTCTCGAGTGACCTCTTATGAATCGGGGTACCGCGTTACCCGGCGGTCCGGAGAACGGGGAGTGATCTTGTCTCAACACCCCTCTCGGAGGGCCTTGCGGTGATACCGACCGGAGTGTATGTTAGGTTGGCGCAAGAAAGTTCGCGGTTAGACTAACAAAACCGGGCTCACAGTAGATCACCCGTGTGATTTGATCCGGAAAATGGCAGGGTAAATGGATTTCGCTAGGCATGTATAATATGTTCTACCGACCGACCGAATGGCAATGCTCTGCCAACTGAGAGGAAGAAAGAACGATGAAGGAAAACCTGCCAATCAAACATTGAGAGAATATGTGGCGAGATGCAACGCTAGGCTCAATAACTTCCGATGATGCAGTGAAAAACTAGGAAAAGCGATATTAACAGCGGACGGACTGAATTCCACCTCTCAGAAACCGTTGAAAATTTGAGAAACATGTTTTCGAGTAGACTAAAGCGCTGCGAACCGATCTATCAGGCAAGGGGTTTGATAAATTTGTTGGCTTCGTTGATAGTCTACTGGTACCCCAGCGTTTTGTGGGTGTCGGGTTATTAATCTCACGGCCGGTAGAAGACAATAAATAAATAAAAAGATGAACAAAGAATAAAATATTTAAATACAAGTTCACACAATATTGACATGTAAGCGACATCTGGGGTGACGAATTAACTCGAAGAGGAAGGGCCGCCGCCTCGCCTCCGGTGCTCTTCTCTCCCTTTCCGACGCCCCTCGTCAGAGGCCCTTTTAGCCCGGTCTCTAATCCTCGCCATCTCCATTTCCAACTCGCGTTCCGTGAAATTCGACACTTCGGTCGTCTCCGCGATAAGGGAGCCGATACTTCTCCCTAACACCTCGTCCGAGCCTGCTACGGGGGGGCTGGCTAAGCGTGGTGGTGTGGGCGAGAGACCATGTATTGGGTTTACAGGTGCGGCGACGGCGTTAAAAGAAGATATTGTAGATGGGATGGAGGCTATAGACCTTTTTGAGATGGAGTGAGCCCGTGATAAGGCTACGTCGGGGTGGTTGCTGCGGCTGGTGTCGGGGGTGGAAGGTGGCATTAGCAGGGCAGGTGGTAGCAGAGAGTGCGAAGGAGAGCCAACGGCAGAAGTCCGAAGTCGCGGTGTTGTGGCGAATTTCGGTAGTGTAGGTTCCGGACTCGAGTCGGTTGGCAGGGGTGGTGGTGGTTGGGGTGGACTCTCGGTACTGTGCTCAGTGTCGTCGAGTTCTAATACACTTCTTCCGCTCCAAGATCTGCGGTGGGAGGGTATCGACGGGTGCTCTGGAGTCGCACTTTCAACGCTGTCTCTGGAAACCTGTTTTCCTTTGCCCTTCGAAGTCTTAGGTCCTCCCTTGAAACCGCCGAACGCTGCTGAGAGCGGTGGATCTAGAAGCGGTACCATATCCCTTGAACTCCTGTATGGAGCCCTTCTGGACCGGCTATTTGGATTGTATTGTGTTGAGATGTGCTCCGTATGGCTACTGCGGGAATATGTGTACGAAAGGCGCGTGCTAGGTTTCGCCGAAGGGATGTTTGCCCTTGCGAGGGCTGCTACATTTGGGTACCTTCTATCTATCAGGGTAGTTGCGACTGGAGGTGGCGCGGACAATCCGAGGATGTTCTCGTAATTCGGCGATAAGTCGTTCACTGCGGACGTTTCGTCTGTGGCATGAGACATCGGTGAATAGCTGCTATCGTGTTCAAACGGCCTTGGGGGAGGAGTTCTTGGAATGGCAATTCGTATCGGCTTTGACCACTCCTCTACACTTTGACGATGGGTTGGAATTTTGTCTCCCCTCGTTGGCGCTGTGCCGCTCGCTCGATGGGTGTATAGATCGTTGGAGAGGACGTTCCCGGTCATCCTCTCAATTTTACCAGCAACCGGAACTACCGGTGCAGTCACGCCCTCATACATGCCCATACTCGGAGGTTCGCGAGCAGACCGAATGCCATGACCATTGGTAGCTTCGCGCTCCCTGTGAAACCAATCCTCCACCATCTCTCTCACATTCTGTGACAGTCCCCCCGACTCCCCGGTCATTATCGCGACCGGGGGCGGGAGCCTAGACGCCGCCGTTTCCCGGTTTCTCGAGAAAAGGTTACGGAAAAGCCGTCTCCCGGTCTTTGGGGTACCCACATTTTTTACCTCGTCTGTCTCCCTCATAGTACCACCACCATCCTTCACCCTACTTCTCTTGTTCTTCTCCTGCTGTGATAACCGCCGGCGCTTTAGTTGTTTATAGGCTCGAACAAAGATAATGACTGCTCCAACAAAGGTTATAAGAACAAGTAAGGAAATGACCACAATGGATGGCAGGATGGCTTCTGGGAACACTGACGAGGAGCCTGAAGGGTTGTTTGAATTGTAGGGTGGCATGATTTCCCCCTCTCCTCCTTCCCCCCGATTCTTGGGGAAGGACTAAACGAAGAAGAATAGAGCGCGGAGGTGCGTCTATATGCACTTGGCGGCTGTCGTCTCCCAGTCGGCCGAAGGCACTGGCGGTGCACCCTCCCTGCCGCTACCGCTGGGCCTAGGCCACAATTAGGCCGTGAGAAGAAGTAGCCGCCGCAGCAAAGTGCTGAGGTTGTGGACGTTGACTGTATGGAAAGTGGACGGGGCCGCGCCCTTCTAGTACGTTTTAAAAGCGCACTGGTAGAAGTGTTAGAGAGGCTGTCAAGCGGCATTTGACTTTCACCAGCTCAACCAAGCCAACTCAAGAAAAGAGGTGGAAGGGAAGAAGGAAGAAGTGATAGGGGAAAAGTGAAAGGAAATATTTCCTCAATCAAAAAAATAAAGCAAAATAAAGGCTAGATGGATAAGGCATCCATATCTGTGGGCTATTCGGCTGTGAGTTACGGATTATTTATTCAGCTTTTGTAAATGCTTTTTTTTTTTTTGAGAGTGGACTAAAAGAAAGGATGAGCGCACCAAGCGGGGTAAGTCAAGTTATTATCGTAACTATCTGAAGAAGTAAAAAATAAAATAAACTTCACAACCGCAGCTGGAAATAGGGACGGGCACGCGGAGAAATCAGACAAAGTGAGAAAGAGAAGTGCAGGGCAGGAGGCACAGCAGGATATCTATAGAAGATGGGGGCGTCTGTGAGTCTGCCATACCATATGTACTGGAGTGCAGTACTGTACTGTACAGCTCGATCATCAGCTTCAGCAACAGCAACAGCAACAGCCGTATCGTAACACAACGCAACCCTTAATTCAGTCCGACAATGATAAGACACTTTCCCATATCGAAAAAGCGAAGGACCAGGTACTTTTTTTTTTTTTTTTACCCTTCCCCGTCCGGTAGGTGTAAGAAAGGAAGGAACTTCAAGGAAGCAAGTATGAGATGGATCGGCTACATGGAGCGGCGGGCATAGTGCTATATTACATATGCCTAATCGGCCGTAGGCTTTTTACCGGTAAGGAAACCGAGTTGTTGACTTATTATGCAAGCACCTGCAATCGTACAATGATAATGGATAGTGTGAAGCCTCTACAGTCACTAGGCTAAGTATCTTTTTTATTTTTCAAGAGGGGGATGGGGATGGGAAAAGGTGGAAAGTGTTTCCACCCGGGGGGGGCAAGGGGCAAGGAAAGCAAGATGGGAGGGATCGCAGATGGGATGGAGTGGATGTACCGGTACTGTACAGTACAAGTGCACCGGGAGCGCATATGGGGAGCGAGAATGATACCGGTATGAGGATGTGAAGAGGTGTTGGAGACTGAGGACGGCATCCCCCGCCTCAAAAAACGGGAAAATTGATGATATTACACTTCCTCTCCCTTTATATTATTCACTTATTTATCTATGACTCTAGGCATGATGTCCTTCGTCAGGGACAAAAGTACTCTTAGAGAGGATGAGTCCATCCATCCAATCGAGTTTTGGCTATTGTATTATTTAATAATGAATTGTAGGGCGGTACAGTGCGGTACCAGGACTCTCTAATCTACCAAAAATTTATGATAAGGCTAATAGCCGCATCGCGTCCGTTCTCCCTGCCCCCCCTGCCATAACCGTGCGCACCATGCATGGGCACACTCACATCTGAAGTATGGTAGGACAGGAGCCGGGAGATGGATCGGAGGCTGAAGAAGCTCGATTTAATTCGCTTTTTTGAAGATTGAGTTGTTGTGGTTGGGATTGGAATGCTCGGGTGATCGGGTGATGGGGACACAGGTGCTGCAAGAGAGCAAGAAGGGGGGGGGGAGGGTGGAAGGGAAAGGGAAAATAAAAATAAAGGTATGAGAGCATCTCGTCGGGCAGTTGGCGTGATGAGAATCCTAGGTTTCAAACTTTTCGTCTGGTATTCCAGCCCTCCAATCTGGGCGATGCAGGATCGATCATTGGGGATACGAGGGTATAATCATATTATTGCAGTTTATTGCAGTTTACAGCCATGGTCTATCGTTCAGATTTTAGATAGGTAATCTGCCCTTCTGGAGGAGTATGATATTATGATATGCGGCGCGTCAGCTATGGCACCCCACTCTTTTCCAATCTTCCTCCCTTTGTTCATCCTAATCCTGCTACGAATAGTGTTGAGCGTGGGCGCTACAGGTGGCCTTTGGCAAAGGGGAGCGTGGGGCAAGGTGCAGGGGAGCGTATTCTATCCCACCTGCTCCAGAATGACGACTTGTTCATGCATTCGCCCGAACCACGGCGTTTTACAATGAGTTGACCTTCTCCACATTTCCACTCCATATTAGAGACCTGCTGAGAGATCGGGGCGAGCCCTTTTTTTTCTCCTCCTCCCTCCCCTCGACCTTCAGAAAAGTGTCTCAAATCCTAAAATGAGGCGGAGGCGGAGCCAATCAACTTAGCCCTTCTGTGCTCGCTTGTGGTTATCTGGCCGACTTTGAGTAAGAAGCGCACGACGCTGAACGGTAGTGAAAAAAGCAGATGGACATTGGGGTTTAGTCGGATCGTGAATTGAATGGATTAGGACAGAGAGGAATTGGAAGAGAATGTAAATCTATCATAGCTAGGATAGCCCCCGTAAGCAAATCTACACCATTGAAACCAAAAAAACAAAAATACCCTCTTTATACGAATATCGTTATCGTACCGTACCAAACTACAAACAATAAAAAGCATCGGAAGGCACTTTGACCAATCACCGGCGCTCTCCCTTCCGTGGTCATCGGACTCAGTACTTCGAGGATGATGGCCGTAAGGCAGTTTTGGGACTATTTTTGGCGTCGGAATGGTGGTGAGGGGTAACCTGACCATGATTAATGATGATGTTTGGCTGGGGAGTGGTTGCACCGCAGGTGTGTTTTTAGGTTCCTGGTGGAGGGGGGTGAGATTGCTGGTAAGGAAATTGTTGGTATGCAGTACCGACCGCATCCTTTGATGGGGACAATACTCGAGTACTCGAGTACAGGAACTGTGCTGAATGCTTCATAATGTAATGTACGGTACCTGTATTGGCACCGTCTTGAATGTCCTACCCTCTTAGTCATGCCTCTGGGGCTGCTTCAACTTACAAGTACTGTACAGTACTTCTATCAGGTGGCCTCGTCTTCCGGTATAAAACGGATAGTATTCCGTAGAGTTGTACATTTACCCCTTTGGAATTAACCATCACCCCCCCCCCAGCTATGATGACAACTCAGCAGGTTTTTGCTATCACAACTTTAGACCTCAATAATCCCTAAATCCAAGCAAGCCCCCTAGTTAGTTCCAGAACAAAGGAGCTTTCCTTCCTACTCCTGTTTAACCTCGAATCTTCTCACTCTCCATTTTCCCTTCCACGTTTTGGCAAATCACGGAACCACAATTCTGTCGGTGAGAGAAGAGAGTCCCCTTTTCTCCGTTGAAATCGCGCCGAACGTCGCAGCCAGAGGCATGGGTGCGCCCTTGCTTAAGGAGTCTTTTTTTGGCACACCCTTAGATTTTTGCTTATAGTTTGGTAGGTGGACTAGTATTCGAGTACAGTCAGTCGGTAGTCAGAACCCTATCGTGACTGCACCACTCGAGTGCCGCATAAATACACCAAGTACGAGTACTAGTACGGTACTCTACCTGTAATACCGGTAGGGCCGGTACTTTACGGCCGTTAAGTCGATGGCATGTACCGTGGGTACCGGTAGCCTAAGTTCGAAACAGTCCCTTTGGGTGGGGGGGGAAAGAAATTACATGTAGGCTTTTGGCCGGAACATTCTCCTGATTATGGTGGCATGACGATGGGGTGGAGGGAGTTGGTTAACTTATCATGGATATCCTCATATCCCGTTTCGTCTCGCTGGGGCTGATGGTGACTTCGAGTGATATTGCTATGATACTTCCGTTTCGGCCCCGCACTGAAGAACACGTGCCCGACGCACCCTCTGTTCTCTACTAGCACTCGAGTACTGTACTTGAACTTGTACTGTATGATACCTGTAAAATAATATAGGGTGCATCAAAACTGCAACAACTACTCTAAACACGTAAGCAACAGGGAACTTGCATCATTTGCGGGGATGAAACAGCCTCAATAGCCTATGCTATCCTACCCTACAAGTACTCGAGTACAGTATATACAACTCTCATGCACAGAGCATTCCCTGGTCTTATCGCCTCCACTTCAGCCCCTTACTCGAGTACCTTTCTTGTCGACACGATTGCCCCAGCCAAGTTCTCCCACACACTAACCCACACGGAATTATTCGTGCAACACTGGGCTGCCGTCACTCAGTTCCAGGCATAAGTACCCGGAGACAGGGATTTGCAGGATCCTTGTATATGGCAAAAAATCCGTGCATATCTGAGTGCCCGTAAAGTTCACGACCCTGTTTCTGAGTGCAGTGCTGTACTGTACTTATCACCTAGGTCAAGTAGAACTAGGATAATCGAACCCCACGCTAGGACGCCGGAGTCGCTAGCAGCGTCTGTTATATCTTTGCTTTCACTTGTCTCAGCGGGGGGCTGAAAGTCAGCCTCTTTCTCGGTGATTCCTTGCTTTCTCCAGGGAGGGGATCCTAGACGTCTTAGTGTGAGGTCTGGTTAGTCCAGTTCTTGCGGTAGGGAGAAAGCAGAGTGCCGAAGTCAGCGTGGCCAGGAGAGAGCAGTATGAAGAAAGTGGGATGCAGGACACCCGCTGCAACGCTCACTCCGAAACTTGCGGTGCAGGTACTGTACTCGTTCTCTAGAGAGACACTTGTATAGGGGTATTCCCGGGTACCCACTGGTATGAAGCGCTGCGGGTGTCATAGTTTCGTGTTGCCGATTGGGTCTCGCTGAGAGGAATTGAGCAAGACCACTCGAGCAGAGTGGGTTTGCATTGGCTGGGGCGGTCGAGTCCAGCTGAGTGGTGGGATGTACGGCACGAGGTAATAGACTACAGTTCTATATCGCCAAGTACTGTATCATACCCCGGGGGATATAGATACGATATAATAGCAGAATACCGGTACTGTACTATGACCAACCCATCGCGTTCCACTCCACATCAGCGGGGAAGGAACATGGACAAAAAAAAAAAAAAAAGCTCGAAACATTGTATGAATCCGCTACGTTTCGTGCCCCTCCAGGGAAGCTTGAGCACCCCTTTACCTCAGTCCCCAAGTCATTTCACATATAGTTATTTACACCCCTCCCCCTCCTCTCTCATTGGATTGTGGTTTCCGAGAGTCTTGTCTACTCAGTTAAGCCAAGGCCTTCAGAGAGAAACAACGCTATGACGCCTTGCATGTTACGCACGTTCTGGGGGTTTGCTTGTTTATCGAAGAGAACTCACTTTGCTTTGTATTACAAGACTTTTTTTTTTTTTTTTTTTTGAAACTGGATGAGCGATTATTGAGATAGGGCGGTCATTTGCTCTCTCCTCTGAGGGTATGTGGAATGATCATGACCTTGTTTCTGCAAGTATTTGTCAGATGGTGTTAATTTTCGGCGTTCGACCGAGCGAGCGAGGTTCGAGTGGAGAGGAGATAGGTAAATTATCATAGTGCTTGGGGAGATATTGACTGGCGATCGTGGTCTTGGCTTTCAAATATCGGGATCGGCGAACTAAGCTATCGGTAGATCAGAGGCTTTCCTGTAAACTCTCCAGAATGGATCGGGCGATCGCCCATCAAGCCCTCCCCTCGCCGGAAGGATCCGAACCGAAAATCCTATTTGTCACGGTCGGATTGCGCAAACGCTATAATAGAATGTGGAGCAATCTGATCCATCAGTTATCAATTATACTCGTACTCCCGTGGAATAATAGCGTTGTTATTATCATAGAACTAGGTATCGTAATCGAGGACTCCGACTCGTAGTCGTGATCGATAAACCATCCAAGGGGTTCGCCGTTCCTGAGAATCTTGGCAATTCTGAATTTTTTTGACCAGTACCTTGAGTGGCCGGATTGAAATCAACAGAGCCTGCCTGAAACTAGTAGATCTCCAGTCACAAGTAACTGCATATGGCATTGGGGTCATGGTCGCGGCGACAGTCAACATAGAGTACAGTACAGCCTGTGCTCTCGCCGTGGATCCGGAATGAGGTAATGATAAGAAGTGCTCCGGAACCGGTAGAAATAATACAGAATTAGTTTGAAAAATGGTACGCGTGCC